GAACAGAATTATAATTCTGTTGTAGAAGATCCAAGTCAGTGAAGCACTTCACTATACATTGGACTCCAACTGCGTATTTGTATTTTTGTTGAATCAGGATCATAATCATCTACTGCAAATTAAATCCATTGTTCTTGCACAATTCTTCTTTCTTGAAACTATACCACAGTGCCTGTCAGCCGATTCAAACAATGGTATTACTTTGATTTTACATATGTATATGAGATCAACACAAATGATGTAGTTTGCTGGACCTAAACTTGAGGAGGAATTCAAGAGCCTCAAAATTTTAGTTCAAACCATTTACTGTGTCCCACAGCACTTAGCATTTAGAAGAGCCTGTTTTCAGCACTGAAACTTTTCAGATGCCCAAAGGTTCTCTTTAGATCAAAAGCACCTTTTCTTGCAATGATGAGTGACTCACCACCTAACCATACTGGCCTATTTAGGGGTTATCCCATTCCTCTGACTGAGATTGTGTCTCTTCGTAACAGAAGAGTTACAAACAAAAAAATTGTCAAAAAGAGCAAGCAACAGTGCCCATGACACTCTAGACCAGCAGTTAAGTCTCCTACTTTGACAGAAGGAACTGTGAGCTCCAATCCCTGCAACAAGAACTGTTTCTCTATATTAATAATCTAATCCTGTATTAATTGTACTTCATCCATCTCCATTCCAATGCGCATATGACACTTGCAGAATTCCCCTGTGAGGCGGAAAGGTGAGTAATCTAGCCACTGAGAGTCCAGCCTGGCCTTATTGCTGCCAGCTGTGAAGTAAAAGAGAGAATGACCTTAAAGACCTTTTATGAAGAATGGATGTCAGCTACAACAGGAAAAGAGTCAGCTACAACACAAAAAGGGTTATATATCTGAATTCTGACTGTGTCTTACATGGTAAAATGCCTACAGCCAAGAGGGAAAGGTATTTAAGACATTTTTTGCCAGAGATTTCATTCTTAGAGGATTACTGAGAGCCGACATGAATAGAAGAAAACCAAATTCTGCTGTTACTCTTTCTGTTAGTTTTTATTTATTTCTATATTAACATTTCTTTCTTTATGATGATTAGGGACCATAGGAATGGATTAATTCAGTTGACATTATGATATTATTAATATTTAACTTGGGATTTACAACAATCTTTTCTTCTCTTGAACAATCTATTTTCCCTTAAAAGCAAAGTATTTCCAGCAGTAATTACAATAAGGCACTGTCTGCCTAAGTAGACAGGAAGATGAAGCTTGCATTTTAAGTTTACAGGCATATTTCAAATTTTAAAAAAAGAGTCAATGATGACAGAATTTCATTTCAGATTGCAATGTCATGTTAAAAATTATATTTCTTAATTTTGGTAACTTTCAAAAAAATACAGGCATCAAATATTGCCATCATGCAATGTTAAATATTTCCACCAGATGTCTCCAATATATTATTTTATACAGAAAGTTACATTTGAGTTACTACACTTCAAATTGAATACAAGCTTAGCAAAATATTAAAGCAATAAAGACAAGAAAGTTGAAACTAAGTATCTGTTTAGACAATGACACTTTAGGACCGTCCCTAAACTGTTGTCAGTTCCACAGTGTTACCTAAAGAAATAGCAATATTTTGGACTAACATTTTGACCAAACTTTTTTTTTTTAAAAAAAAAAAAAAAAAAAAAGACTTCATGGTTTTGGCTTTTAAGAGGCAGATCATGTCTTGATACAACCTTATATTGCTCTGAAAATGTAGGTAATTGGCATGAGTGAACTTTGAGTTACTTAAAAATATTTTGTTTACTTGTTTTTTTTAAATCAGAAAGAGCTCACAGACCCAAACTAAAGACCACTCTGTTTTCAGAACTCTCTCTAATGTAAGCATGCAGTAATCCAGTTATTTATTGAAAGCCTTTGTGGATTACTCCCGCTCACTACCTTGAAACGTTTACCCAGATTCTGTCAGCCTGAGTCAGTATATAAGCAATGCTCAATACATATAAACCATTGCCAGAAGAGAATTTCAAGGACAAAAGGGAAAATTCTACACTGCTAATTCTCAGACCCACATACCACTGAGTTATGCTTCAAAGGCATTTTTCTAAGAGAACTCCTACAGAATCCTTCTCGTTTCCATGTGCTTCAAAGCAGCACTTCATTTATCTGATAGACACTACAGAGCATTGCCTTATAATCACTTACATATGAGCAAGTGTACATATATGCACATCTATATTTAATACAAGAAGCCCACTCATTTATTCAAAGTAGATTATACCTGAAAATGAAAAATTCAAAAGTCTTTAAAGGATCAAGGATAGAAAGCACATGTTATTTACTAGGTAGCTGAGTATACTATCCTGGAATCAATGTGGGGTAGATCGTTGGCTTACATAAAAGTTAAATCTATCCTTCCAAAGTTTTCAACATATTTTACACATGTTTATTAGACTTTGAATTTTGCTGAAAGATAGGGGAGTATATGTCTACTCACAACTGACAGGATGGGCCAGATAGAAATCAATTACAACTGGTCTTCTCAAAAGATACTTCCATTTAGCAACAAGATTTCTCTCTTCAGAATAACTGACCTATACTTTCAAATGGCTAAGATGACAGGTACTCAACAGAACATAAGACATTCAATTTTATCTATCAAAACTTTTAACTGAAAGAATAAAAAGCATACCAATGAGAAGTCATGTACTGAGATCTTCAGACAATTCAGTAATATAGCATGTCATCTCTGTTTCTCATTTATATTAAAGAAATTATTGAATAAGTAACATTTTCCATAACAACAGAAAAATAGAAATTTCAAGTGCTAATCTCTAAGGCCAATGCTAAAGTATAACTGTTGGCTGCTGACAAAAATAGCTCCTCTAAATCAGGGAAAATTTTTCTTTCCTTATTTCTGTTTAATTCCTTTTGAAAAAAACGGTCACATACTCAATCCACAGTATGGAAGCAGATGCCTTGAATCTGTACAACCCAATGACTCTTATAGGATAATGTATTACATTATTTAAGCTTTCTGTTTCAAAATTAACTAATAAAAAAATATGCATCAATGGATTCAACTGTTGTAGGAATACTTGAAGAAATAGTTTGGTTATCTAGAACTTTAGAGTCCAAAGCAAAAATAGCTGGATGGTCTGAGCTCACTATCCATGAACTCTGAACTGAGATGAAGTCATACAGCAGCACCGTCCAAGCATGCAGTGCAGAGCTATGGGAAGTTATACTTTGTTGTCTTTTTGGGGGGCAGACAGAGGGAAGAGGAGCATCACTCCGCATTTTCTGAAGTAACATAATATGATACATAACGTGCTATCATACAATAAAGATGTACAGTACCTATAAGCATTTACAAAGATGCTTGGACTCCATCTGTCCAGAGAATAAGGACTACTTTTCCCCTCAATTATATAATTTGTCAAACACACCAGAGTTTATAAATATTTATCATTAGGAAAACACCTAAGGTATTTTTCCTTTCTTTACATTTAATTTAGCATGCAGAATCACTCACATTAAGTTTTTATAAACAGCCAGGCCACCATAAAAGGTGCATACAAGTCCTACGCAGTTCACTGCCTGGCAACAATGCACATAAACAGTATTTTTATTAGAAAATCCCTCCTTAAAAAAAAAAAAACAAAAAAACAAAAAAAAAAAAAAAAAAAAAAACAGTATATTAAAAAAGTAAGATCTGTTAAATCAAAAGACCTTGTACTGGACAGTGCACAAAAAAAATAATTTCTAGTACCTCTGTAAAGGTCAGCTTCAGCTTTTATTGCAGTTTGCTTTCATTTGTGTCTCTTAATTTGAAGAACTGTACAATACCTGTCCAGTATATGCGAAGTCCAGGGCTTGTTTTAAACCAAGGCTTGTGACACCATGCAAATTCACCTCATCAGCTTCACTTTCAACCATGCAGAGACTGAACATTGCCTACAAAAAGAAAATAAATGTTATTAACCATTAAAAACAATGCCCAATGAAGGTCCAGGAAGAGGATGACTGATTTTTCTACTTTCACTAACCTTTTTTCCTCCTTAGATAAGAATTCCAAATAGCAACAGACTTGCAAGTTAGAATGAGATCTATACCAAATTTTCAATACTAACCCCACAGCAATCAATCTTACAACTGAGTCCTTTTATTAATAAAGAAATACAAAATCTTATTCTGAAAAAATTGAAACAAATCCCTTTGTCACATGTATATATACTTCTTAACTAAGTAATTCAGATTAAATCAATGGGAATAGTCACAAATTACAGTATCATTCAATAAAAACGATAAATAATTGGACTCTGGAAAATTCATCTACACAAGCACTTCTAGAAACAGTACTTATATATAGTATCATTATATACAGGTAGGAACAATAAGCCATACACATTTACTTGCCTGAGAAGAAGGGGCAGTTAACTCATCATCTTTCATAAACAATCCTTTCCAAATAAACATCTCAGACTGGAATGTGAACAATATAATATGCAAATTATCAAATGAGGAGGAAGGATGGAGATGCAATCACCTAAACTTACAGCCTCCCCTTACTTGTTATTGCCCCAGTTTCTCAGATCATAAAATATAAACTGAAGATTGGCAAGGTGCTATGGAACTTCCTGGAAAATAACATTGAGGAGAGCAACTGTCCCCTTTCCAGAGCGGGAAAGTAAGCAACTGTCTTACTTTCCAGATCATCAGTATTCAGTGCCTCCCTGGATTGAAGCAACCATACTCAACCTCTGGATTTTTGTAGGAATCTTTTCATTCCCATCTCTGTTAAACTTAAGACTCCTGTCTTCACTCCTCACTCTTCCTGCCCAGCCTGCATTCCTGCAGTACCCCTAACTTACCACTCCTTCCCTCCTCTTATCAGTCCCGTTCTTCATTCTTTGTCACTTGCCCACACATTTTTTAACAAAATATACCACTCATATTCTTTAGATAGTAAACTGAGAACAAATAAACTGAACAGTTCTACATCTGTCATTGCTAAAGATAGTCTAAACTTATCCTCAGTCAGTTTTGAGCCAAACTTTGCATCTCTATGGAGGCTATCAAGCTTCAACTTGGAGAACTCCAGTAAAGAAGCACTTCTTATGAACATACTCACTGCTACTTTTGTCTCTACTCTGGCTGATATCTGCAGAAGCCGAGACAGTCAACAAGCACACTGGACTTCACATGTGCAAGCTGTCCACCTAGCTGAATTTAAATGAAAAAAAAAAAAAGTCCTACCCCTTCTAACAGTTCAGCACATAGCATTCACTGAGACCTGGGTGGCTTCTTTCAAGAAATGATTGTTTCCTGAAAATAAGTAATTTATTCTGAAAATGTTAGTATTTTCATCATTAAAATGCCATAGTTTGACATAAATCTGTTGCCTGGAAATCATCCAGAAAGCAAGAGTGACATTTATCACAACATGGTCAGTCCTTGTATTTTTGCAGTTTCTATTTCAATCAAGTGATATCAGGGCTTCTTCCAAACTGGCAACAGAAAAGCAGCATTGAATAGTTTAAAAGCTTTATCAAACAAATGTAGTAAGACAGAGACATGAAATATACCTAGATAGAAAAAAAAAAAAAATCTCACAATTTCAGACACTTTTCTAATTCCATTAAAAATATAATCAGTTGGACTTTTCACTGTCACTTAGATGTATCAAATTAGCTCAAACAGCTACTGTGAGGCTTCAGGGTTTGCCAGGAGCTGCAAGGTATCTACCAGCCACCTGCTTCTGGCAAAAGCAGACCTGCAGTTTGTATCTGGAAGAGCCAAGCTTCTCTTTCCAGAAATTCACTACTAAATAAACTTTCTGGATAATATTCCTTTCACACACTAATTCCTGAATAAAGAGAGTAAAGTCTCAAAGCAACACCTGTCTACATCAGGGTAGATTTGCACACCTTCTATACACCCGGTTGCACGGCAGACTGCCTGCAGGAAGGCTGAAAATGCTCAGCAATACAAGATCCTGCGTGCTCTTCATTCTCTGACTGTGTAACAGCAACTGTTTGTACACTACCTACCTGTACATAGGAACTGTTAAAAGACAATGTGGTCACTAACTAAGTTTCTGTTCTGCTCAAGGGATGATGTCCCACACCACGGGTTAAGCTTACAGATACAAAAAAACAACTGAATCTCATCTGTAGACCATGAATCACTTCCATGAAGATCTGGTAGAATTCTTCTTTGTAGACTTACTAACTTTACCTTTAGGAGACCCTTCAATTCTACCAAGGATTCCAACATGTTCCTTACACAGGATCAGCAGGATCAGGCTGCTAACTCAGTCCCTGTCCATAATCATTCACAGTGCTTAGTGAACCCTCCCAGGCAATGTCCAGGCTCTGGTTCAGAGGGTAACTCAAGCCACAGCTGTTCCAAATAGACAGAATGGATAAAGCCAACCTGTCTACAGAGGGAAGAAGGTTTAGCCATATGACCCTGAGCCATGCCAGTCACTTTTAGGGACAGAAAACAAGCCCTTATCCATCTTATTTACTAGTAAATACTCCAGTAGTGCAATGGGCTATCAGAACTGTAGCTGCTGCCAGTAAGCCATAACACTTTGCATGCCATCTGCTATATGGAGTTCATTTTCTCTCATGCTATCCTCTGAGTATTCCGTGGAACTTTTTGATACTGAGTATTAACTACATTTGGTTTTCGGATGGTAAGGCCAAAGAATTTGATCAAAAGGTAAGGTCTGCAATGGTCCTCAATTCATATTCAGTTGAACTGGATTAGCCTCCAGGAAAGTAGTCTCCCACACAGATTAATTTAGTACTGCTCAGTGATCCAACACTGCCTTCACCAGCAGGTATATTTCCTTCTCAGTCTGATAGCTTAAAGGTTTAATCCAGCATGAAAAAAATCTCTTCAATCATAGGCAGAAATTGTGCTCAAACTGAGCCTTTAATTTGCACTGCTGTACTTGAGTATTGTAGTTTTAACTGTAGAAACATATGAATCATCAAATTCTGGCTTGAGACTTCACCAATACCTGGAGAATGAGTTACAGCTAGGCTCTCGAACTCTGGTTTCAGATGCATCTCTTAAAATGCTCTGAAATTTTGTGATCTTAAACGTATCCATCAGTCATGCTTTTAATGCCAGGCTAGTAGCCTAATTTATTTTTCCCTTAGGTACATTAAAAACAAGGTAATAAGATAAAAATCTGAAGTGGATGTACAAGTGACAGACAAGGAAAACAATAAAATATAAAATATTTGGACAAGTGCACAATTCAAACTTACCAGAAAAGTTACCAAATTTGGCTAAACATGAAATGTTAACAATTTTAGTTATTAATGTCATTCAACAATGATTATATATTATACTTTAAAATACTTGTGCTTGGACAAAATAAAATCTCTTTGAAAATGCCTCATTTCTCCTCCAAGACCTTCATGACATTTGGCAGTATAAGTTTCTAATATAGTAACTAAAGGTCCCTTTTATAATAAAACCCACTGGTGAGAGGACCTATGTTTTCTTCCAGTTCTTTTAAATATCCTAGTCTTATTCTGCTATCCAACCATCCAATGAGCCAACACTGTGGGAAATAAAGTGATTGTTTAAATTCTGCTGGTTTAGTCAAGATTTTAATTAAGTAAACCAATTCCATGAAAGAAAAGTAAACACAATCCACTTGCCATTCTGTGGCAAGTGCTCCAAAATTCAGGTTTCGACATCCTGTCACAAATGGATATATTCCATCTGTGGAATTCCACCAGAGCTCACACTTGTTTAAGAAGATATAAATTAGGATGGTTTCATTTTTGTGAGGCAGGTAGACACTTTATCAGCTGTAAAAAAGAGAAAAGGAGGAATCGACCCTCCATTCTTCTAATCTTGGCCTGAAACAGAAACAGAGCTAGAGAACTATTCCCAAGGGAAGAGGAAAACAGCACACAATCTATGGATAAAAATAATTAAACCATAAAAAAAACCCTCTCAGACTCTTTAAAATTTAACTTCAAAGTAACATGACAAGTTGGTGGGCGTTTAATGCATGCAGTTTTGCTACTTTGCCCTCAGCAGCCCAAGGCACCTTTACAAAATGGTTTGTTCTGCAAACATAGAACACAAAAACTGAATGGCACACAACAGGGCGACTAGACTCATATGTGATCAGATCTGATACAATCAGGCAGGACAGGCTAAGTAAAAGATGCTTATCACAGACATTGGGTCTAACTTTCCATACTCAGCTTTTGCTGCTGCTTAGCTTTCAAAAGCAAAATGCAAGATGGGTGTAAAACACCACCAAATCAAAATAATGTATTACTGTTAAAATAAGCATGAAACAAAAAAAATGTGTCGATACATTGATTTTATCACTCAGGCAGCACTGCAGCAACTTGTACAAACTCCTTCACAACACACAACTTTAAGAATTGACACCAGGATCACAGAAACACAAGATGATATTCAAAATCCCCAAAATACAAATTTCTCACTGTCATAATGGTGAGGAACAAAATTGCTTCTTGCCTTTGAGTCATTTTCTTACTTGCTCATCTGTTGCATAACCGTGAGAGTAATGAGCTTGATCTCATTTGTACACATCAATCTTAGAGCCATATCAGGCATACCAAGCAGTAAGTCATCACAAACCAACTTAACCAAGTTGTACAATATTTTACACAAGTAAATGCTTTCAGTGAATTTTACACAACTTAGCGGCCTTTTAAACACAAGAAACAGAATCAAAACATATGCAGCCTCAGGAGACAGGGAAATTAATATAAAAAGAACAAATGGCTATGGTGTCGAAAAAAATACAGCGACCAAAATTTTAAGTAACTTACAGCCACAATCTAGGGAAACAAACTGGAATTCTTATTATTAAGCTTTTATAAGCTTTCTGATGGGAGTAAATAAATAAATAAATAAATAAACATAGAGGTAACCACTGGATTCTA